GTTTCAAGAAAAGAGTCTTAACATGATGTTTTTAGATTTCCAAACTATAGTATAAAGAATGAATTCAAAGTGACAGATTTAATGCTTATTTTTTCAGAAGTGGTTTGATGTCAATTAAAATCCAATTTAGCACCTGCTCAACTACTGATTTGCAACAGTGAACCATAACTGCAAAAGAAATCACAATTATTTTAAATTATCTTATTTCAATTTAGCAACACACATCTCAGAGGACTACTTGGCACAACTGAGAAGAAACACCAGGATTCCCTCATCAATTTCACATTCCAAGTGGTCACTGTGTCTTCCTTCTCATCAACATTATTGCACACATTCCTTATCCTCAATTCTCAGTGTTAATCCTACCATTTATTTCCATTATAATTAGAAAGAACCAAAACAAAAATTTTATTTCGTTCATCCAAATCTACTAACTGACCCCTAGTCATCTTCTATAAACATCTTCTCTGCCTACCTCCTTTTAAAAAGGGAGAAGTGTTCATGAAGTTCAAGTCTGCCACATACATATTGGATCAAGTCTCTTTGGAGGCACTTGTGGACTTTGATTGCATAACTGTAAATTTCTGTCTCTCTGCCAGTATAAATCTTGCCCTCTATACTTCATTCTGGCTATCCACATCACTCAGTGGTATAATTAAATATGCTGCAATTATTTCAGTAGTTATACACTATATCAATATGTCCCTAGGTGCCTTATCCTTATAAGGATATAAGAAACATTTGTTACAACTGTTCAACTCTATTTTGAAGTATAAACCTGTGGCCTGTAAATCAAATGCTCTTTATTCTCTTCTAATCAACTGGCTAGTCACCATTGTCAGAATGTCTCAGAGTTTAGTTCTCCAGTATAGTTCTTCTTGAACTATGAATTCTTCAAGAGGTGAGTCAGAGTCACTTCTTAGGAGAAGTTTTGAGTAATTATTAAAATTTTAAAGTATTTTTTCACAAAATGGTTATCAGAATTTACTGAAATTAAAAGGGAGGGATCAGGAAGATTAGATATACAGCAATGCTGTGGAAAATACCATATCATGCAATAACTGATTCCCTTATAGAATACATAGAATGTGCTGAATATCACATAAATTGAAAAATCAGTTATAATTATCAAAATGAAAAGTTTTCAAATAGGTTACTTTTCAAATTAAACTTCTAAGATAACAGCTACTGTTTAAACTAAAGGCATAGTTCTACGTTGTGTGCACAACTAATTGAAAAGATGTATCTCATTATGGAAAACACGTCATAAGTCCCATGAGTTACATTTGTCAACCTTAACCTCAAAATAATTTAATGTGGTTATGTCTAACTTACAAGGAGAACTACAAATTTATGAAAGTACTTAACACATGTAGCATATGTCCAATCTTAGTCTTTTCATGAAAAATCAACAGGAGGGCTCCTGAAGCATGCCTGCTTGATAGTGATGTAGACAGCATCTCTTTTGTGGATGTTTGTCACTAAATTTGCATTTAACATTTTTTATACTGTTGTTAATGTGGCTTTGTGTAGTAAAAGCAAATCCACAGTGTTTCATTGTCCTTAATTCTCACTTCAGATTCTATAAGTTAACCATATCTAATTATTATTGCAAACTATAATGGACAATATGGACATTTTATAATCATTAATCAATAAAAAGTCATTATGTGGTACATATAATATTCACTCTATCTAATGTCTATCTATGATTACCTACCTGTTGGTTATTGAATTTGTTCACAGCAAAAATTTAGATTAATTATGGATGGATATTGTGTATATAACACTTTTGTTGTGGAAACACAAAAAAATCTTTCTTAAAAAACTATTTAAACCAGTAAGATAGCAGAATAAAATGCTAATTCTGAAATTATTGTACAATAAGCATATCTAGCATAGGTAAGATATTTTTAGACAGAAGTATAGTCATATAGGTTCATATGTTTGAAACATATATATGATAAATTATAGAAGAAAAACAAAAAAAACAAAAACAAAATACCAATTCAATTCCTTTGACTATCTTAAACATCAATCATTGCAAAGGGGAAAAATTAGCACAGGTTTTATGATTCCTCTAAGTTTAATGGGTAACTCATGCAATCAGGAGATCTGATTCCTAATGAAAATGCAGACAAGTATGAAACTAGGTGCCTCTTCCTCTCCTGCTATGTAGCTATTTCATTTACACCTTGTACATCTTATATAGTAGGTTTCTCTCGGAAATGTCAGTATGGAACAGACCTAAATCTTTGCTTTATTTCATATTTACTTCCCATGGCAGAGCATGTTTCATCAAAGCAAGATCACTGACAAAAGCCCACAACAGGAAACCAGAGAGATGGCTCAGCAGGTAAATGTGATTGTAGTTCAAACACAGTGACTCCCATCCTAATCTAGTTGGGGAGGAAAGAACGTTCTCCCACTTGTTACCCTATAACTCCCACATGCACTTTATGGCTTATTTGCAGTTGCACACACACAGACACGGACACACACACACACACACACACACACACACACACACACCGTAATATACATAAACACTAATAAATAAGCAATATCACTTCTTTAAAAGGCTTCTAATGTTCACTTCTATACATAGTGCTATGTTCATAATTTTAATTTTGGAGGAACACTCAGTGATTTCTGATCTCAGCAGAATGTTCTCATTTTTCCTTCAATAATTGTGACTCTGGTGTTTCCTGGCAGCTAAATCTCCCTTTGAAATATTGTTTAAATGAGTGACAGAATTATTTAGGGCATGTCTACATGCATGCTTGGCTCCATTATGTGTATAAAATGTCTTACTTCAGGGAGAACTTAGCTCTCTGAATAGAATGATGTTGCATTTGTCTGAAAGGTAGAGCACATTTTAAAAATGATGGCAAAATTGACAATATTATATGCTACCAGTGGAGATAATTAAAATAAACATTGAAGTAATTGTTTATTTTAACCAGCTACCAGTGATCAAAAATAAATCTGAGAAAAACTCAGACACAATAGCTAGTAACTAGCTATCATGAAGCTTTTCCTTAGGCTTATGAATTAAATTATATTTTTGTTCTTTTCCTTTAGGTACAGAAGTCTATCAATTACCATTCTTAATTTTTGCTACATTAGGATCTTATTGGCAAAAATTTCCCCCATTTTTTATTTCTAAAACAATGTCAAAACAAATTCAATTATTCCAATAATTCCTGGTATATCATAAAAATTAACCTTCCCATGACATAACCTCTATAGATGGACTGTTGTCATCACTTTTGGATGCCGCTGCATAACTTTTATCTGCTTAAGCCTATATTTTGTGACTCCAAGAAGGTTATTAGTTCTCAATGTTTTTTTTTTTCAGTCAATCTTTGTAATTGATTTAGGTTTTTTTCTTGTTTAGATGCATGCTGAATATTTTCTCCATTTTTCTCAACTCTCATCTTCCAAACTCAGTGCCTTTAAACACAGAGAAATTTATTCACATCACACATTTTACTACATGATATAACCTTGTTACATAAATGACCTTTCTCCTCATTCCAGAATATTCCCTTGTTATCTCAAATCCTAACTTTTTCTGATTTTTTTGTTTTTCTTTTTGAGACAGGGTTTCTCTGATTTTTAAATTATTTCTTTCCTTCCAATGATAATTTCTTAAATTTTGTTCACAGCCATTCTTTTCTAGGTTTAATACACAATCCTCTGATTCCCTCAGCCCTGTTTCCAAGAATATACAAGTCTTCCTTTGATCCTAAAAGGGGGAACTAGCAACTCACTATTGCTACTTTTAATGGCGAGTTTCACACTCTTCAAAGGTTCACCAAAGTCTCCAGATTAGTGTGAATTCATCTGATCTTCACCAAGCTGAACCCAAATTCTTACTCCAACAAACTAGTTACTTTAATTTGGTTGACACTTTTATTTTGTTTTTGCTTCATTTTGCATCACTTTGGTGTACTTGGTTTTTGTTTGATTCACAAATATGGTTAATTATTATCTTTGCTGATTGTGGGGCAATTGTCTTGTAAATTTTACATCTTTCCTTACATCTTCCTACATTAGCCCAATGTCTAAACTTTAAAAGTGTATATCCTCTCCATGAATTTTCTTATTTTACCCCTAGACTGCACTAAATCTACTCAAAGGAAAGTGTTGTTTTTTGTAAATGCATTTTAAAATGTTATGTTCTTTCTTATACTTTCATTCTTTTCTTCTGACAGCACTTTAAAAAAACCACAAGCCAGTATTTCCTAGGCAGACATTTGTCAGCCACTGTGTTGGATCAGGAGAATATAATAACAAATAATACCTCATTTATTTGTTTGGGACTCAACATAATGAATTTCTCAAATAATGAATGCACTTCTTAAATAGATGTCTAAAGTATCATCAAAAGACCAGCCATTAAAATTAGTAACTATTTTCTAAACATGTTATGGAGTCAGAGATGTAAGGAAAGGTCATTATTGAGTGTTTTATCTTTTTCTCAATCCAAACCATTTATTTAAAATTTTACAACTTTGTGTATGTATACAACAGTTATGACATGTGTGTGAAGTTCAGAGGGAAACTTGAAGAAGTCAATTCTTTCCTTCTACCAAGTGATTTCTGAGTTTCAAACTTGGGCCCTCAAGCTTGACAGCAAGTTCCCTTACCTTTTCAATCAACATTCTACCTAAATGTTGATTATTTTCAGGTTCAAATCCACCATGAATATTAAAGTCATGATTCCAATAAATAGGTTTTAGCATTCTTACTACTGCCAGTAGGAAATCCCATAAATAATGTATTATATATAATTACTGACACTCATATTATTCTGATTCCATAAATAAATCTTATAAGAAAATCATATAGACATTAAAACTAAATAAGCAAAGAAACAATTAAATTGCTCAATATCTTTCTAACTTTCCATACATTTGAGTATTTATTTTGTTGGTACATTTTGTTATGCTCCGTTCTTTTTAAGGCATTTAAAGCTCTTCAGTGGTACATACCTGTCCAGTCTCCCACTACTTTAAAGTGGACACCAAATGTTGCTTTGGTTTCAGTAGGACACTGAAAAAAAATACTGGAATCAATTAAGATTGTTATATACTAGAAGTATATGATCTGATCAAAACTTTTATCCTGACAACAAGCCCCCAGATCAACAGCTAATGGGAAAGAAAAAGATAAAACTTATATGATAGAAAAAAATGTTAAGGAAAAGATAAAATTTATATGACAGAAAAATCAATACTGACTGATGATTAGGACAATTGAATTTCTCTGAAGACCCATAAATAACATATAAAGCAGAAAATACAGACAAAATTTAATAGTATATCCTATTGAAATATAAATCCTGTTAAAACATTTCTGATGTAAAATATAAGAGTTAGAAGGAAGAACTAAGAACTGAAGAATAATGATCTTTGTGTATCTTACTCATAGATATTATGTAGTTTGCATAGTGACAAATGAGAATGAAAAATTGTGTATTTTCTATGTCCAATATAATACTGGTCAAAATACATCTAATACATTTTGTCTTTTCATTCTCAGGGAAAAAAACCTGCATGGCACCTATAGAGGCAAATGAGTTTCAAAATGGAAGTAAAAAATATTATTCTGTGGTTCCATATTAAGATAAAATAAAAATTACCCAGGCAATCAAAGAGACATAAATTTCAGCAGGTGATGAGGAAAGATTCCATTCATTTTCCAGATAACTAATTACTTATTTACAATCCCCAAACTTAACATTTTTCAATACTGGGTATTTTTTCCCAATTCATTTGATAGTGTTAAGTAACCTGAAGTTATGACAGGATGTAGATTATAAACTTTTTGGCATGGAACTCATCAAGAAGTATTATCCTAATAACTTCCCAATTGATTTAGGAGTGTTGACTAATGTCTTGTTGGAGAGACTCACATTTGGAGGGCATATACCTATTAAATCCATGAAACTGAAAATAAAATCTAATAACTATAGATGATTATCTGCTAGTGAAGACTCAGCTTGAATCAAGTACTATTTGTGAAGAACTGTATAACAATTGTATCTATTTAATGACATATTAACCTTGAATAATGTCTTTTATAAATGAGGATACTAAGCAACTAACACATACACAGTAGTAGTAGATTTGGGGGAAAGGACAGGTGAGGGGGGAGAAATGGAAGGATGAGGAAAACTGTGGATGTAATTATGAGTGAAGAACATAAACATAACAAACAAAAGTACAAGACCGAATTTAGACTGGGCCTATTAGATTTAGGTTTTAAATATGGCAAACCAGTATCTTCATTAAAGCAAAGGTACAGAAAAGAGGTCATATAAAAATCTGGGATGGAAAATAGTTGAGATCTCCTGGGTTTACTTGGAGGGGATATAGAAGGGTGGGGATGGTGGAATGGAATATGAGCGACCAAGAAGATGGAGTTAGGGAGAAACCTAGGCTAGGGAAAATCTCAGGATGACCCCAGCTAAGATTCCTAGCAATAAAGGAGAAGGTCTGTGAATAGGCCTTCCCCTTTAATCAGATAAATTACTGCCCTAATTGTCATTATAGAACCTATATTCAGTAACTAATGGAAGCAGATGTAGTGACCAAGCATCCAAGCACTGTGCTGAACTCCTGGAGTTCAGTTGAAGAGAGGGAGGAAAGATCATAGGAACAAGGGGGCTCAAGACCATCAAGACCATGATTGGGAAAACCACAGAGACAGCTGACCCAAGCTAGTGAGAGCTCATAGACTATGGACTGACAGCTGGGGAACCTTCATAGGACCGAACTAGACCCTCTGAATATGGGTGACAGTTATGTGACTTGATCTGTTGGGTGGACCCCTGGCACTGACACAAGGACCTAACCCAGGGACATGAATTGACATTTTGGAGCCCATTCCTGATGCTGGGATACTTTGCTCAGCCCTGATACAGGGGAAGGGGCTTGTACCTGCCTCAACTTGGTATGCCAGGGTTAGGACTCCCCAAGGAAGGCCTTACCCATTATGTGGATTGGATGGGGGTGGGAAGGAGGGAAAGCAGGGGGCTGTGGGAGAAGGGACGGACAGCTTACTTGGGTTGGTATGTAAAATGATAAATAATTTTTTTAAATTAAAAAAAGAATCTCTAGCTTTCCCTGTTCTTTGTTAACACGTCTATTGGTAATATCCTTGTTTAGTCATGTTTAAGCAGCCAAGATGGTGAGACTTCATGGGTGTAGTAGTTTTTCTGACATTTCTAAGAGACACAATCTTACACCAGTTCCCTGTTTTCCTGGCTCTTACAATCTAGCTACCCCCTCTTCAGCAATGATATCTGAGTCTTAGATACAGGGGCTGTGTTATAGACAAAGAACTACAAGCAACAAAGGAATGTTGAGAGTGGGAAAAACCCCACATAATTGGCTAGCCAATACCAAATTGTCATCAAAGGAAACATGCACACACAAGCCACATTATATGGACTGAGCAGGTTATATTGATATGTTTAGGAACAAACACCACACACACACACACACACACACACACACCACACACAGCAACAGTTAAAGAAAAAGAGGCCATTAATTTGAATGAGAACAAGGTGGGGGTGTGTGAAAAGAATTGATTGGTGAAGGGAAAGAGAAGGAAAATGATGTAATTATATTATAAAGTTAAAAATTTAATTCCTACCCCCACCCCCAAAAGGAGAATGAACACTCTGTAGAGAAGTGCAGTAAGGAAGATAAGGATACAATACAGAATTTCCAAACTGATAATTTAAAACTGATTTTTCTGGCAGTATCATTGCTGCTACCAAGAATATGTAATATTAGCTGATTTTAAACACTGAAAATACTGTTTTAGCCATTATTATACTAAATCAAGTATTTGTAAATTCATGCATCACATTTATAATGGTGATTCTCAATTTATTCCATCTACATTCTCGTAATGGACAACTCTAATAGAAATCCAATTTTCATTAGTAATTTTAAAACTATCATGTTTGCAAATTACCCACCACTTTTACTTAATTAACATAGCCGACTACATAGTAAAAGATGGAGCTTGCCTAAAACAAGAGTCTCAAAAATGTTATAAGAGACCAGTGTGACTGTGTGTGTGTGTGGTATTTGAGAGTACAATTGCCCATATATAGTCTAGATGTTGGTGTCTGGTCTTTTTTCTAGCATTCTCCACTTTATTTTTTTTAGACAGCATATTGTCACTGAACTGCAAGTCTTCAATTGTCAAGGCCCAGGGTCCTCCTTTCTCGTGCTTCTTTCCAGGGCTAGGGTGACAGAATGGCAAGGCATTTACCATCTACAGGTGCTAGGAAACAAACTTGGGTCTTCATGCTGGTGCTGCAAGCACTTTACCGACTAAACATATCTTCCCAACACCCAAAGATGCTATTCTGATCATCTAAGCCCACTTGCTATTTCCTCCATTGTAAATGAATGAAAAGACAATGTAAGCCAAGAAGAGAGTAGAATGAGAAGAAAAAATAGTTTGCTTCTGGATTCCCAAATTTATATTCATATTGGGATAATCTCACAACGAACTACAAACGAATACATACATTATCTAAATATTCATATATTAAATTTGTTTTCTCTTCTTTCATTGAAGACACTACAGAAGGTATTTACAGATTTCAAAGGACATTGTAAGCCCTTTTCTCTAAAATGCTGGCAACTTCAGAAGTAGACCTGGTCCTGAATTGATAAAATGAGAGAGCACTTCTATCCATTTTTTATGAATAATATCTTATAGCTCATTCATAATGCTTAAATTAAAAAAAATAGATGTCAACCCAACTTCTACCTCAGCATATTGATCCATATTTGAAAGAATAATGTACAAAATAGCTACATGTGTGGTATGACAAAATTAATGAAGATCTTATAATTATATTTCATTATCTTTTCATAAATAATATGCAGAGTCATTAAAACTGCCTGAAGAGGTATGCTCAGTATTAAATTAATTCTCATAGATTTTAAAAATTAGTTCTTTAAAAGTCTCAAAGGGAAGAAATAATGAAGAGCTGACAAAGATAATTTTTCCTAGAAAATAATAAAGCAATATCCTTAATAAAATTTCCATTAAAAGGTTTCAGAAAATTATTTGTGGTTCAGTTCATAATAAAATGAAAATGCTCACAGTAATTACTGACATATATGAAATGTTGAAGAAGATACATACCAAGTGATTAATAATATAAAACCATAGGTAATTTCCAAATTGATGGCCACATAGCTGTTGGGGCCTACAGAGATTGTTCTGTTTGATCTTGGCTTAAGGTTAGGGAGTTCAAAACTATCCTTATTCTTCCAAAGTTAAAGTCATAAGACCTCAAGGTCTCAGGCATGGCTACTGTAGGATGTTTGGTCTTAGATATGGATGTCTTATGTAAACAACAAGAGAATTGCTCTGAGGTGTGGTTACTCTTAACCTTCAAGGATGGGTAATGAGAGATTTAGTCTAATGTGTGGTTACCAAATGTTTGAAGAATTAAGGAAGATGATCTGTTTCTTCCTTGTATCTTGATAAAGAAGTCTTTTGCCGTTTTCCCCTTTTTGCTTGGGGTAGTTAAGAATGTTGAAGAATAAACTTGGGGTATTCAGTATTCTGGATTTCCCTTCTGACTCTCATAAAAACAATAAAAATAAAAAATAAAAAAGAGACAAGAATATTGAGTAACTTCATACATACCTTGAAAAAATGTATCAAACACCTCTACTCTAATAAAAATTAGCAAATAATTCAAGAATTTAAGTAAAAGTTTAACTTAAGTGATTAAGATAGAATTCCAAATTCCTCCTGTGCACAAAGGTCAGATCTTGGCTCATGCTGGATCTTAAAATAAATAAGCAAATATGCATTACCTAAGATTAAGGTTAAGAGAATTAAAAAGTGCCAGAATTGCCAAGTTGGGTTTCAGTAATAGGTCTGTATTTCTATTTGGTAAACTAGAAGCATCAGATTTTTTCTTTATATTTGTTTGTTAAGGCATTAGGTTTTTAACATGAACAATTTGTAGTGGCACAAAATATAAAAAGATATCTATTTTAGGA